AAGTGTAATACACAATTGTGGTGGCCGATCTGAATCTCTCATTACCAACTTTGGCAACGAGAATCGACACCTTTTCCGTGGCACTTCGTTAGCGTTTGCCCACGAAGTAGCAGACGTAACAAACTGTCTCACGTCAGAACTAGTGGATAACGCAGACACGTCAATGAGCAACATTGACATCAATCCTGATCTGTCCACCGATAACCAGACTGCGCTGCGAGCGCTCTTCTTCGAGTTCAGGTCTTGTTTCGCAAGTTTCTCAAAACTCCGCCAGACGTCCATCACTCAACACAGGATCATCACGTACGGGGACGCACGCCCAATATGCCAGCACCCCTACCAGATGTCAGCTTAAGAACGTGAAGCGATACGTACGCAAGTCCGCGAGATGCTTGACGAAGGCGTTATCGAACCATCCAAGAGCGCGCGGTCATCTCCAGTCGTGCTTGTTAAAAAGAAGGATGGGTTGCTACGCATCTGCGTCGACTACCAAAAGCTTAACAACGTGACCAAAAAGGATGTGTACCCGGTGCCGCGTATCGACGATTCACTGAGTACACTTCGTCGTGCCCATTATTTCACTTCTCTCGATCTCAAAAGCGGGTACTGGCAAATCAAGGTATATCAGAGAGACCGCGAGAAGACAGCCTTCGTGACTCCGGACGGCCTATAACAATTTAGAGTACTCCCTTTCAGCTTGTGTTCAGCGCCGGCAAATTTCCAGCGAATGATGGACACTGTCCTCAAAGGGCTCAAGTGGCAGACTTGTCGTGTCTACATTGATGATGTGGTGGTCTTCTCTGCCAAGTTCAAGCACCACCTTCACTGCCTGCGCAGCGTGCTGGAGGCTATCCGATCGGCGGACTTTGCAATAAAGCCACAGAAAATCAACTTTGGCTATGAAGAACTAAAATTTCTTGGACATGTAGTTAGCGCCGAAGGAGTCCGGGCCCGATCCAGACAAGCTTGCCGCTGTTGCCGAATTACCAGCTCGGGTCGATAAGAAAGCCGTCCGGGGCTTCCTTGGTTTGTGCGCCTACTATCGTTGGTTCAATCACGGCTTTCACAGATAGCAGAACCTCTGGCTCGTCTCACAACGGAAGGCAAGACGTTTGTCTGAGAAAACAAGCAAAAAGCAGCTTTTGATGAACTGTGACAGCGCATGCAATCAGCGCCCGTTCTCGCTCATTTCGACAATGATGCTGACACGGAGGTCCATACTGACGCTAGTAACGTTGGGCTCGGTGCAGTGCTCATTCAGCGTCAAGAGGACGTCGAAAGAATAATGGCCTACGCCAGCCGCTTCCTATCCCGTGCCGAGGCGAATTATTCCACTACGGAAAAAAATGCCTCGCTGTCGCGTGGGCAATAACCAAGTTTCGCCCGTACCTTTATGGTCGTCCCTTCGAGATAGTGACAGACCATCACGCGCTCTGTTGGTTGGCAAGCCTGCGTGACCCTTCAGAACGGCTAGCACGGTGGAGCTTGCGGCTGCAGCAATTTGATGTCACCATCGTCCATAAGTCAGGCCTTAAGCATGGAGACGCTGACACACTGTCGCACCCCTTCATGTAGTCAGTCGGGAAGCAGAGGAAGACGAAGGCTTCCTGGGCGCCATTAGCTCATCAGACTTGACCAAGTGGCAGCGAGATGACACAGAGATTCGTCCGATCATTTATCATTTAGAGGGCGAGGGCACAATCATACCCCGTCATTTATCCCCCTCGTTGACGTCGTTCTGCCTTCAAGACAGTGTACTGTACAAGAAGAACGCTCGTTCGAACAACCGGGCTTACCTCCTGGTGATTCCTCGACATTTAAGAGACAACGTCCTCTTCGCTTGCCATGACGAACCCACATCTGTTCATCTGGGCTACTCAAGGACACTTGCCAGAGTGGGCGAGAGGTACTATTGGCCAGGACTTTCAGCAAGCGTCAAGAAATACGTCAAGAGCTTCCGGGAATGTCAGCGCCGAAAGCAACCGTCTGTTAAGCCAGCTGGTTTGCTTCAGCCTATTGAAGCACCTTGCATGCCGTTCGACCAAGTCGGCATGGACATTCACGGGCCATCACCCCTGTCTGTGGACAGCAACAAATGGCTGATTGTACAGCCATTTGTCGGACAGCAACAAATGACGATTTGACACGCTACGCTGAGACGCAGGCGATTCCACGAGCCAAGGCTTCTGAGGTAGCACAATTTTTCGTGCGTCACATCGTGTTACGACATGGTGCTTCTTCCAGTATAACGGACAGAGGGATGGCATTCACGGTGCATCTTAAGGACGAAGTTTTCAAACTGAGCAACACCAGACACTGAACGAAAACTGCGTACCACCCGCAAACACACGGACTAACCAAGCGACTGTATAAGACCATCGCAGACATGATCTGAATCTACATCGACGTACAGCACGAAACATGGGACCGGAGCTTACCTTACGTGACCTTCGCGTATAATACCGCCGTGCAAAAGACCACGCGATTAACGCTATTTCAGATTCTCTACGGCCGCGAAGTGCAGACTATGCTGGACTCTGTGCTACCGTGTCAAGACGACTACAAGTTGGCAACTGACGCTAAAGAACTTGCACAGCGCGCTGAGGAAGCCCGGCAGCTCGCGCTACTACACATCGGCCAGCAACAGCAAGCAGACGCACGGCGCTATAACACCCGCCACAGAGAAGTGTTCTACAACCCCGGAGACCAAGCTTGGGTGTGGACGCCCTACCGCCACCATGGCCTTAATGAAAAGCTATTGAGCCGGCACTTTGGCTCATATAAAGTGTTACGCCGCGTCAGTGACGTGAACTACGAAGTGGTTCCAGACTCAACACCGCAGGCACGGAGCAGGACACGACCGAGGCCGGACGTCGTTCACTGTGTGTTGCACATGAAACCATTTATTGCGCGTTGTTCGTAACCTTTTCTTTACCGTACACTGTTCTTTTTTTTATTTATTCATTTATTTTTGTGGACTTGCTTCTTCGCTAATCGATTTTTCTTATATTGGCACGCTCTTTAATTTGTACATTTACGTTATCTGATTTCCCTTTGTTTCACGTGCCTGTGTCGTAACATCGGAGTGGTGCTATGTATTTTTCGTTCCCTCTTTTGGGACTTTTTTTCCTTTCAAAAGGTGGGATAATGCCACCCACACGTAGTGGGTCGACTACAAGAGCAGCCCTAAATCTGGAGGTAAAATGAAGATCACGTGCTTCTCGACTCGAGAGCGAGCCAAGACTGACGCATCGTCCTAAAGCTAGCTACTCGGTGGCTTAATAGACCCCCAGTACTTGTGATTCATCGTGACAATAACATGCGAGCAAACTGGCCCACGCGCATCATGAGTGTCACATATAAACCATGTTGACCATGAAATAGATGCCGTCATTTGCTTTTATCACCTCTAACTTACGGTCTTGATGCAGCTACGTTATGTGATACCAAATTTGGTGTATATCAGGCTAGTGAACTGGCTGTGAGTGCGCCTTCAGAGAGGCATGCAAGTGGTGTTTTATATAATATTATTCTCAATAAATTAAATACCACCACTTCTCTTAGAGTTCGTCATACAAGCATGTAGCGCAATACCAAATTTAAGTGAAGTTAGCAGAACAGCCACTAATTCGCCATCAGCAAGGCATATATGCCATGCTATACATGATATGCAATCATGATTTTCTTATTAAAGCTTCTCCTATATGTTAGTAAATTTTAAAATCCCGTTATACCATTTTCGCTAAAGTTGACGAAATGGTCTCACAAACACGTACCATCATGGGCACGGTATGTAAACCATGCGCTTCAAGAAATGAGTTTCATGATATTGCCAAGTTCCATTTCTCAAGTTTTCTTATCGCCCCAATACACTACACAATTATCAGCGCAAACCGTGCTTGCTGTTTTCGAGAAGCTTCAGGACTGTAGTAGATCATTTCGATAAGATGACGCCCACTCTGCGAACTGCACAGATTATTCCAGAACATACGTCACCGACAGCGATAACGCTAGAACATTCGATGGCAAGAGTATAAATGCCGACGCACTTCGCTGCTTGTCAATAGTTGATCCACGGCTGACGCTCCGTTCACTGCTATCGGTGCAAGACTGCCATTGTAGTCGGACTCCGTTTACCGGGCACGGGTTCGCCCAAATAAACAGTTAAGTCCCAACATAAAGTCTCCTGTCTTCGACCACGTCACGACCCCGTGACAATATCACCAGTTATGTATGTCCGTCATACAGCCATATTTGCCATACTAATTTTGATAAAAATGCCATTACCAATATTATGGTCAGAAGAGCATGAAGTCGTAGACGGCTAGTAGATAGATAGATAGATAGATAGATAGATAGATAGATAGATAGATAGATAGATAGATAGATAGATAGATAGATAGATAGATAGATAGATAGATAGATAGATAGATAGATAGATAGATAGATAGATAGATAGATAGATAGATAGATAGATAGATAGATAGATAGATAGATAGATAGATAGATAGATAGATAGATAGATAGATAGATAGATAGATAGATAGATAGATAGATAGATAGATAGATAGATAGATAGATAGATAGATAGATAGATAGATAGATAGATAGATAGATAGATAGATAGATAGATACGCCCGATGTCGTCGAAGTTTGCTGAGAAATGCGTCACATTTATTAAGACGATATTTATTTTTCTCTCCTTCTTATACTAACCAGCCAGCCTGCCCGCACAGCACGGTATCGCTTTTTTGAAGGTGAAAATTCAAATCCGTTTCACAAAGCGACTGCATGAGGACGCCCTCCTAACCCATTCTTGTTCACGTGAGAAGGAGCGGCGGGAGAAAGCAGGGACGCGCACCTCCCCATAGTCTCCCTTCGTTGTTCGCGAAACAGCTGGCAATCGAAGCACTCCCCTTTCCTACGCGATCAGGAAGCTGCCGCAGCGCTCCACTACGGCGTCTGGGGAAGGCTGGCATTGCCCGCCAAGCGTTGTTCGGCAAGCCCCGCCGGAAGCGCGTCCTGCTTATTGTGAAAGGGACGCCATAGCACGCATGACCCCAGTACCCTTCTTTATTCTTGGTGAAGAATGTTCTACGCCTGTTGCATCGTGTAGCAGCAGAGTTTGCGCCAGGAAGCATTCAAGTTGGCTGACTGCTGTGCGTTGAGAGTACAGGGGGAGCCTCAACGCGAGGTCTCACAATGCCAACCGAGCGAAAACGAGCTCCCTTTCAAATTAGTGTATGGCCGGTTTCTCAGAGGAAAGTACTTCTGTCCAAGTGTCACTTGCTGCTCCTACCAGCACTAATGCTCCACTGGATACCGCAAGCTGTGTGTGGCCGCAATGGTAAGTTATGTTTAGGCCAAACATTTATTTAATGGTAGTTCTGATGGTGGCAAAAATATGTTCCCGAAAAATGTATGCCACTTGCGCTCCGTTTCCTTTGCACGAATGTTCACAACAATACTACGCAGAGTGTAACCATCAGCGTCATGTCGTGATACTTTTTTGATACCCTTGTGGTGTCTGCCTCAGTTGATTACGGCATCACTTCGCGGTGACGTCATGTCGCGTGCTCACCATACAGCTCTCTTTCGTCAACTTTGAGGGAACGTTGAAAACTGAGAGATGAGTATTGAATTCCGTTCAACAACATGAAATATATTCAGCCTTTGCCCACAGTTTCCTCCTGCCTAAGCGCGCAGGTGCCACTGTTCAAGATTCAGTGATACCCCTCCACTTTTTAGCTGTCATTTCAAATAGAGAAACAGAAGCGAAGAGCAATAATGAAGTGCTTTCTAGTTACTCAATAACTGGAACGCCAGTTTGAGGTATCATGTGGTAGCAAAGAAATATCTACAGAAATTTCTATAATTCAGAACCGCGCAGCAACAAGATGCTTAGTATGGCAAATTAGCAGTGAAGGTGGCATTTGCGTTTTTTTAGGGGCGAAGCTTCTTAAAGCGGCACCCATTCATCCCTCGTAGCCAATGTAGTATGTAACAAGTATAACATTCTGACCACCATGGTGGTGCTGGTGAGAGATTTCTTCTGTGCATTGTTGAACAATAAAAGATAGTGCTCAATGTACATGCAAATGGCTGCTAAGGGGAAATGGGAGACAGGAGCATTCGGCTTTTATTTGACGCGCACGCGGCGATCCCCATTAGCAGCCATTCGCATGTAGATTGACCGCTATCTGACAAGAAAGGGTTGCTACGTTATACTCGCTGGGCGTAACCTCGTTGGTTTTAGAAATGTTTAGCGAGCGTTGGGCCGCAGTGCCATGAATACAGTAAACTAGTATATACCATGAACTCGAGGTGGTTAAAGGTGGGAAGTAGACCTGAAGCGCAAGCCGTAATAAAGTGTGCGTGTGCCACGTCTCGTTTAGTCCTTGGAATGTCCGCTGGATGGCGGTGCTTCTATATGGGGAATATATTTTTTTTTCGCTCCGTCAGTAGGTAGAGGTCGGACGTGTTTTTGGAGAGCTCCGGAATGACAGCTACAGATAAGTGTTTTTGCATGTTTCCAGCTTGCCTCTAGATGTAGCGTTATGAGAGCGTAAGGCGCTAGCGTAAGGCTTGATTAGGTCTAGTACGGTGTACGGTTTTTTTTTAGTATTTTGTACTGTGTCTTTTTTTTCTCCAGCCACCACATGGCTGAAGCCTGCGCGCAGACCGACCACGTGCATGCGCAGGTGCTGTGAAGTGTAGCGTATTTATTTATTATTGTGGTTCTTTTTGGCTTAGACCAGTGTATTTTAGTACAGTTTTCTAACACGTGGGCATCGGTAAACTGAGCTAGCCATGGTCAAAAAGACCGTAAAGTGTTCCGAGTGCGGGGTAGGGCGGAAGGTGGAAATTAGTGCGGAGGAGAAAGCAGAAGATGACGCCAAGTGTAGACAGTGCGAGTTCGAGGAGAAAGTGAAAAATATGATGGCGGTCCAGAGTGGGCTCATGGAGAAAATCGCAGCGCTGGAGAATGCATTGGCGAAGGAGCGAGAGAAAACGTCAGACATGGAAGAAAGGCTCCGGGCAGCCGAGAAGGGCCTATCGAAGGTCGTGAAAGGGAACGAAGACGCAGGTGACGGCGGAAGCATTATGGCGACGACCCCCCGTGCGGGAGAGATGAAGGAAACAGGCATGACAAAGGCAGATACATTGGCCACAGGGCCCAGCTACCGGGAAGTAGTTTTGAGGGAGGGAGGGAGCAAACCAGCAGCCGTGACTCACGCTAGTCACCTAGTCAGCAGCCAGGTGCAGGTTTCAGAAGGAATGTCGGAACAGGTCATCATCGCCGGTGACTCAAATTTGGTCCGATGCGCAGCGGCAATCAAAGAAAGGGTGAAAGGCGACAAGAGAGTTGTGATAGGGACGTTCCCAGGACAAACGCTGGGGACAGTAATGAGTCAAGCGGGTGAACAACTCGCAGCTAAGGCTGGCAATCGTAACCTCGTTGTAATTGCGGGAGGGTTAAATGACGTCCTGAAAAAAGAATCGTCAGGACTAGCGACGGCCTTGGCGAGAGGGGTGGATGACATGCGCACCGTGTCCCCCCAGGTGCAAATTGTAGTATGCACAGTACCGGAAGTACCGGTGCGCAACGTCAACCTGCGAAGAGCGGTTGTCGACGCAAACAAGGAGATATGGCGGATTAGTCGAGAGAAGGGTTTCGAGGTAGTGGATTTAAACAGGGAAGTGCACAGGTGGGGTGGATTCCAAAGAGACAGGATTCATTTCGATAAGAGGCTTGGACACGAGGTGGGCTGGCGACTGGCAGGACGCGCAGTAGCTTTTTTGGGGGGCTCACGGGCCCTTCGGAGTCCGGGGTAGCTCGTAACAGGGAAAGCAACCAGGAGGACGCTTTGACAGGTAGAATTGCGAAAAACCAGAAAAAAGGTAAAAGAAAAAGGAAAAAGGCGCGTGTTGCAATTAGTTACATAAACATGCAGGGTGGCAGAAAGAAGGCAAAATGGTTAGAGATTGAGGAGCCGTTAAACAAAGAACAGATAGGCGTGTATGCGGTTACAGAAACACGCCTTAGAGACTTGGAAGAGCCACCACATATTAAAAATTATGTTTGGGAAGGGTGTAACAGGGCCATATCGGAAAGGAAAGGTGGGGGGGTAGGAATGCTAATTCACCGCGGAGCCAAATGGGTTAGAGTGAAACAGACGTGTTCAGAGCACCTCTGGGTTCGGGGCACAGTAGGTGGAAAGGAAACGTGGCTAGGGGTAGCCTACTTGTGGACGGGGAATAACTGCAGAGAAAAGAATCAGGAGATAGTGGATTGCATGAGTGCGGATATTAAGGAATTTGGTAATGGGGCCGAAATCATCCTTCTAGGGGACATGAATGCCCACATACATGACCTTGACGGATATTCAGACACCAATGGGAAGTTATTACTAGATCTTTGCGAGCAACATAGTCTGGAGATAGTTAACACGGGGCCTAAATGTGACGGCCAGATCACATGGGAAGTCGGAAACAAGCAATCAAGTATTGATTATTGTCTCATGACTGAAGGAATTTACCACAAACTGACAGAAATGAGGATAGACGAGGAAGGCATTAACAGCTTGGGTAGTGATCATAAACGAATAACATTACAAATGGGATACGAAACTGAAAATATGAGCATGGAATCAAAGTCTGGCAGCTCGTATTTAAATGACAAACAAATAATAAATATAGCCGCAAGAGTCGAGGAAGAAGTAGGCGAAATACCAGGCAAGGACTGGGAGTATAGTGAGCTGTTACATCTAATGACGAAGGAGATAGGGAAAGAGAAGAAAACTGTTTGCTGGAAAGGAAAAAGGAAGCCAAAAAGTTGGTGGAACAAGGAAATCCGGGAGGCGATCGAGAAGCGACGCGAAGCCTCACGGGAGCATAGAAAGGCAAAAAAGGAGAAGCGGCCGCAGGACGAAGTCAAAAAAATATGGGAAATATATTAGAGAAAAAATCCCTTGTACAGAAATTGGTAGAGGCAAAAATTAAAGGTGAAAGTGAACGCTGGATGACAGAGATACACGAAAAAAAGGAGGCCGCGCCTAGGTTTTTTGGAGCCACATAAAGGCGCTAGGTAGGAAGTCTGTCACAACGCAACAACATATTCTAGATGAAGGAGGAAATCAATTGGAAGGGTACGAAGCGCTAGGTTACATCCAAAAGGTAACAGCCGATTCGTTTCAAAAGAGCGTCCAGGGGATCTCCCCGGTGAGTAAAAGTGTGGCGGAGAAAGCAACAGAGGAAGAGCTAGTACTTGATAATTTCAACTGGAAAAAGGCCGAAGGAAAAATTCCAAAGCGCACTGCCGCGGGTTTAGATGGGATTCCCGTTAGCCTCATTAACGAACTAGGACATAACACTAAAGAAGCATTGTTAAAAGCAGTAGAAAAAAGCTTAAAGGACGGACAAATACCGGACAGTTGGCGACAAAGTAGAATGAACTTAATCTATAAAGGCAAGGGAGAAAAGGACAAGATTCGCTCGTATAGACCACTAACCATTACATCGGTACTATACAGGATGGCGATGCAAGCAGTAAAAATGAAAATAGAAACATGGGCCGAACATAACGATATTTTGGGAGAACTTCAGAACGGATTTCGAGTCGACAGGCGGTTAGACGATAGCCTGTTTGTTCTCACTCAGTGTATAGAAATATCCAAAATAGAGAATAGGCCCTTGTACGTGGCTTTTCTAGACATCACTGAGGCATACGACAACGTTAATCAGGAAATTTTGTGGGATATATTGAAAGGAATGGGCATGGGCGACGACTGTTTACAGCTTTTGAGGGAGATATACCGAGAAAATACAGTTTGCATAGAGTGGGAAGGAATGCGTAGCAAAGAGAACGTTGAGGTTAGCAGGGGTCTGAGACAGGGATGTCCTTTGTCCCCGCTGTTATTCATGCTGTACATGGTGAGTATGGAAAAAGCGCTAGAAGGTAGCAACATTGGTTTTAATCTGTCACACAAACAGGGCGGCATGATGATTGAGCAGAAGCTTCCAGGTTTATTTTATGCGGACGATATCGTCTTATTTGCGGACAGTCGAGATGATATACAGCAGCTGGCGAATATATGCGGAAGGGAAGGTGAAGCTCTTGGACTAGGATTCAGTGTAACGAAGTGTGGATTGATGGTATTCAATGATCCCTGTGATCAGACGGTGTCCATACAAGGCCAAGAAATACCGAGGGTAAGTGAATACAAGTACCTTGGAGTATGGGTAAATGAGAGTGATAGATACATGGAGGTACAGGAAAAAGCCTCGGCAGCAAAAGGAAAGAGGAATGCGGCAATAATGAAGCACAGAGCGTTGTGGGGATACAAT